CTGAGCACCAATGACTGCATAGGTGCTTCTGCTCATTTCACTTATTTATTAAGTTATTAGAAGACTTGGAGGCAGGTATTTGTTTCTACATTTTAAAAGGTGAATAAAGAAACTGCAGAAAGGTGAGGTAAACTGTTCAAGCTCACCTAGGAAGACGCAGAATCAGATTTGAACTTGGATGTTTTCTAGTGTTCTCAATGGATCACTCAATCATAGCTTTAAATTATCTTGTTTTACAATCTTCCACCCTACTTCAGTGAGGAACACTGTTCCTACCAGAAATATTTATGCCTCTTCAAAACAAAGCTTAAATACATCTATTTTGTTACTATGGAAACTCATATACATAAATATGAAATAACAGAACCTAACAAAAAGATTAGAAATAAGATTAGAAACCGCAAAGTTATTTTGTTACTGTAACTTGCTAAATTAACAATGTAATTCAAATTACTTTTCCTGTTTCTTCACAGTAGGCAGGTGTCAATGAAAATTTTATTAGTCTTAAATAAAAATTATGCTTTAAATGTGAATGGCAGTTTTATACTTCAGTCACCTGGCAGTTAAGATTTCCAGCAAGCAGAGCAGACAGAACCTACAATTCTGTACTTTGTGTAAAATGGGTTATGGGATTTCACAACCCTGGTTATTTAATGTTCCCTAGCAACATTCAGTTCTTGTTAGTTTGTTGTGAATAACAGATTGGTAGTTAGAAGACCCCAACAAATAAGTGAGCAATTTAAATTGGACAATTCACAAAATAGGAACTATATCTGGCTAACAAGTATAATAAAAGTGGTTGGAAAAAAGTCTATTGCCTCATAACCTATGGTTCATAAGGTAGCCACAAATATTCTAATTACACAAAATTTATAGCATAAAGAAAACTCCATTTGCTATAATGTTAAACTAGAGTAAAGCACAAAGACAAAATATACAAAAATGATTACAACATTTGTAAGTATGCCTTAACTTTAAAAGTATGTATGCACACATGTGTGAACCCATGTGAGACAGAGATATTCTACTATTCCAAAAGGCTTTATACTTAAGAATTTAAAAAATTCTACCTTAGTACATTCTCCAAATTTCTAAAAAAATGAAATGTATTTCAAAATGTATTCCATATTCCTAAAGTAGACAATTCTTGCCTATATTCATAATTACATTAAAAATAAAATTAAATTTTGGACACTATATTCTGTTAATAAACAAGGAAAGGTATAGAAGAATATAAAAAGATCCCTATTAAAGCAGTACCAACCGTTTTCCACTGATAAATCTAACATACTTGCATCAAACCATTCTCCTATACCCACAACCTGAATGGGTTCCCAGTGTCAAGAGTAATTTGAACAATTTACTGTAGTGTGCACACATTGCACAATCTGGTCCCATTCTCATAATTTCTCCCCACTCTCATCCATGGGCTCAAAGGATTTCATTCACAAGACTTAAGCTCTGACTGGCCCACTCACTTTCTCTCAAAGAAACATTATGTATGTGCCCAAGCTTTTGCTCACTCAGCCACCCACACCCTGCTTTCCCTACCATCCCCCCGCCCCACCCTCTGTCCATCTTCCCAGGCAGACACTGACTTCTTTAACTCACAAGCCATCTCCCCCAGTATCTACTGTCCCTCCTCCATATTCCTAAAGATGCTATCAGTTACCAAAGACACCAAGCACCTAACCATCTAGCCTAAAATTATACAAAAATAAATATATGCATTATCTCCAAAAGGTATTTTAATTTCTAAAGATTAAGAACTTTTACTCTATTTCTTTATACATTTGCTTCTATAAAGCTTTATAACTCAGAAAACAACTTCACATATATTATTTATATTTGGTGACTCAGTAACGTGTATAGAAAACTCAAAGTAACTTATCGCTCAAAAAATCTGTGATAAGGATATTCTTCCAATCATCTTCAAATATTACCTAATGATAGAAAAAAGATCAACATTTCATAATTAAAACAAACAAAACACCAAAAGATCAATTCACACTTAGCACCCAGATCTGGGTTTCTAAATATCATTCTCCAATCAAAAACTCAAGTTTTCTTAGAGAAATGGCTCATTCTAAGGTTGGGAAAGTACTAGATGAACCTGAAGCATCTTATACTATTAATAGTTAAGGACATTCTTGAAACCAAAAACCAAAACCACCACCACCACAACACAAAGATGAAGCATATCAAAAGAAACAGAAGCCAACTGAAAAAGCTCCCCAAACCCAAAGCTTAAAAATGTGAATAACAAAATAAATAATACATTGGATTATGAGTCCATATTTATGGACATAAATATAAATAAGTGACTGAACAGGTAAATGGGGAAAAGAAACAAATATACAATTCTATAAGACCTTTAGGATTGGGAATGTAGTTCAATGCCCTAACAAGAACATGGCGCTGGGTTTGATTCCCATCTTTCTCTCCCATATACAGAAATGTCAGATCAGGACTCCAAATAAACACACACACACATGCACGCACGCACGCACGCACGCACGCACGCACGCTATCCCTCCCACAGGTGAGAACTAAACCCCATTCCCTTTCAGGAAGGGCTGGACTTCCCAAAAGTTGTCCATGGAAAGGAAAATGTAATAAGTTCCCAATAGAGAAAGCTGGCGGACACTAAATAATCAAGTAATGAAGGGTAACATCACCTTTGCTAACATTGTATACCTAAGATGATGTGATGAGAAGGACACTGTACCTCTGTGCTTTCTTTCCAACAATCTGTTATCCCAGGGAAACCAAGAGGCAAATGTCAGGCAAATCCAAAATGAGGAACCTTCTACACCATAATTAACTCATGTAGAAAACTGTCAATGTCATGAAACCCCAGGGGAGACAGAAACTGTCACAGATCAGAGTCTAAGGAGAAAAGAGTGCCCTGAATTGAATCCTGGAACAGAAAAAGGTCAATAACACAAAAACTGGTTAAAAGAAACATACCAATGCTGTTTTCTTAGTTTTGACAAATATACCTCAGTAATGTTATTAGGGGAAACTAAAATTGGGTGAGCACTGTACAAGAATGCTCTCGTACTACAATTTTTCTGTAAGTCTAAATAATCCCCAAACTAGGTTATTTAAAAAAAAAAAAAAAGTTGAAGAGATCCAGATTTAAAAAATACATATGTCTTCTATGTCAAAAATAAAAGACTTGATATAATTTTTAAAACCATTAGTTCAAAGGTCATCTAAATTACAGCTGATTTCTCTGCAAAAGTGTCCTGCATCAATAAGCAGTATTCTCAACCCAAAAGGCCACTGTCTGTAACTCTTCCTGGCAAAAGGATTATGAGGGAACAATAGTCTGAACTTGGTACAAACTATAATATAAAGTTTATATGAATGCCTCTGAACAAAGGTATTTCAAATTTTCATAATCTAATTCATTTCATGAGATACTGAAGTCTCAATATGATTATTTATTTATTTTTAAAGTAGCGTATTAATAAACAAAGCTTGCCATGTTCCCATTTAATGAGTAAAAAATTCTGGAAAAGAGCTTAAAAAAGATTCTATATCTGAAAAAAATACCTCAGTTGTTTGACACATGTGACCCAGAAACTGGATGACACTGGAAATATGATGGTGTCCTTCCCGGTAATTAGGATTTTAATACGTAGAATCCAAAATGCAAGTCCCATTTGAAATTTATAATACAGAAGGTAGTGATAAAGTGCGAAACTTATTTGGTCTACAAAACCTAAGTCATTAGAGATAATGAAGCTATGTACATAAAAATGACTAAAAAGTAGTATGATTTTAATATAATTCATACTGAAAACATACCCATATGAATACAAATAATAAATGACTGAAATCTGTCTCTGTAGATACAAAATTTTAAATTTGGAATATACTATTACACTCTATGCAAAGAACTGAAACTAAAGACTGGTGGTTTAAAAAAAAAAAAAGTAATTCAGTAAACAACTTACCAAAAGAACATTTAAAATGAAAAAGCTATTTTTAGTTTAACATGGTAATCCACAATTAATGACGGGATGAACTTTTCTTAATAAAACATCTATTCTTTCAAATAGATGTTTTATCAAATCTGCACAATGAAAGGTCTTATATTTTTAAAATTTCTATGAAAATTAAGCTACTTTGAACAATTTCAGAGTGTAAAGTCACAGTAAACACAACCCCCTAGTGTTGATCTTTACTACCATACACTCTTAAACAAACCCCCAAACTAGAAATCTAGTACAAATCATTTCAGACTGAGTAGTTTAAATATAACATTTCAATTACAGTTTGGAGTGTGGTTGATCACGTATTAGGGAAAAGTCCTTTACACCACCCACATTATTATTTGGTACCAGGAATTGAACCCAGGGGCACTTAACCACTGAGCCACATACCCACATCCCTTTTTTGAGACATGGTCTCACTAAGCTGCTTAGGGCCTAAGTTGTTTTGAACTTGCAATCTCTTGCCTCAGCCTCCAAAGTCCCTGGAATTATAGGCCAAGTATGTTCCAAGTATTACAAGAATGAAAAATAAGGAATTGGGGGGGGGGCAGTAATGTTTGTAAATTCTACCTTATTCATGCTACATCTCAGGTTTGAATTATGATGTGATTATTATCTATGTTTAAACAAAACCAAAAGTATTATCTTAAAATGGAAATCAAGGTCATCAAGGATTTATCCATCTAGTTCAATTAATTGATCTACGTATTTTTTGTTTTGTATTTGCTAACAGTAATTACATCCCCCTTCCAACAACTCACTTATTCTAACTTGCAAGGTTTCAGAATGATAAACTCTTTCTATTCATTCTTAAGTAGTATTCTACAGACCCCAAATACACAAAAGAATGTAAGAAAAACAATGAAAAATGAAAGAAATCTCTTGTCATCCTTAGAACTCGTGCTACACTCAAGAGACAATTACTTCTAAGTTTAGAAAGGAAGAAAAAAAGAGGCAATATCAAAACCTCTTAAAATGTAAAAGAAATTAGACTAGTTTAGTTTTCTTTAATATCTTCTTTAATAAGACATTACAGCACACAACTGAGGCCCCAGTGTGTCAATTAAACATGGGGATATCCATTTGAAGAGAATGGAAACAAGTTTAATCTTAACCCCGTTTCTTTTGGCAACTAATGTAAATACAGAATGGCAATTCTCTCAGTGTATTTTATCAAGTCTTTGAAGACACCATAACAGTTTTTAAATAAACTTTGCTGTTATCTGTTAAAGAATCTTCAAATTAAATAAACAAAGATATTTAAGACTTGGAATTTTTTTTTCTTATAGCAGATTTAACTCAAAACACAAAAAGGGGATTGTACTAATAATCCCCATATTGAGAATTAATGTCTTATAAGATCAATCAGACTATTTCCCTATCACTGAGATACAGAGTTAAATATGGTGTCTTCAGCTGCTTATAAAAAAAGGGTTAAATACAAGAACAAAAAATTTTATTCTGAATTACAGTCAGTAAAACAAATGAAAAAAAATTTAAACCAAAATTTGTGAATGGGTTTTAAATGATTTGTTACTAAAAATAAACACACATATGCTCAAAGCACTTTCAAAAACTTATAAACTGAAATTTAACCAGAACTTCTACAATAACCACCACAAGAAATTAGGTAGAACTAATGTTCTGGCAATTGACATATTAGGAAACAACATTAAGTCTGAAACTTAGGGAATTAAATACATGAAACAAAAGAACTGATTTTAAAAATAAGGGTCTAAGAATAGGAGTTGCTAAGAAACTATCAGCACTGAAGCTTTTCCTTGCAAACATCTTATTTTAAACTTTCAGTGAAGACAAACAAGGTGGGCAGAGTATGTGGAGCTACAAAACAAATGCAGCAATGAGTTACAGCAGAAGGAGGGAATGCATTTTGTAATCCACAGGATCAGATATGTGGCTCTAAGCAGTTAGCAGTAAATATTTTAGTGTTCTTCCTATTATGTTAATTTTAAAATTTAAACTGAGTTACAGCAGTTTCATTTGTACAAGTTAATAGTTGACAAAAGCAAATTAAAAGAACACTAAAGTTGAGTTTTCTTTAACTGGGTAGCATTTACTTGATCCAACTGAACAAAAGCACCTCCCATGCTTAGTCCCCAAAGATTGAGCATACTGGTTGATTTTAATACTTTTCTAGTTTGAATGGAAGTCATACTATAATATATAGTCTGATTTTAGGAACCACCAGAATGCCAATTCCTAAATTCAACGTTTCAATAGAGAGGATTCTGGGAATTAACCAATCACAAATAATTCCAATTCCTGTTAATGCAAAAATTCATTCATAAAATTGGCCAAATAATTAATAAGTTCCTAAAACTCCTTCAAAAATTATGCTTCAATTTAAAATTAAAGAGCTAGAACAATCTGCAAATAAATCCACTATAATTTATAAAAAATCTTTTTACCAATTCACATTTATTCCATCATATTTTCTATTAAACAATAGGACTAATTATTATTTTTGTTTTGACATATACTTCAGAAACTTATTTTTTAGAAGGACTCACTGATAATCCAATTGTTTTTACAAATGTATTAGTTTTCTATAGGGTACCCCTGACTGGTAGCTACGCCCAATCAATTCATACAGGAAATTTAAATTTGTCAATTCTAAACATGTGAAATGATCATTGGGGGCATAATACTTAACTGCAATATTCTAAGGCAGCAGATAAAGTCATTCTTCACCTAAATCATCAGCTGCCAATAAAATTACATGCACAATTTAAATGAATGAGTCTGCTTTAGTTTAAGGAACCTGCACTGAGCTGAGAAAGGGAGATAAAAGTTGCGTTTGTAATTCTAGCTGCTGAATTCATTAGATTTTTATAAGGCAAATAAGGAAAGTTAGAACAGAATCTGTAGAACCATTTATCCTGTGATGTTGTAAAATCAAAGTACTACTTTATTAAATGAGTTATTTTACACAATATGAACATCAATATAATTACAATTGTAAAAAAATTTTTATAACAAGGATGGACTGATTTTCAGATTTCCAAATCAGAGTCAACTGTACATTTACACAGAATTGTCTTTGCATGAAGCCCAAAAGGGAACAGCATAAAAATGAGTGTTTCTGTAGCCCCTTTATTTTTGCTGATCAACAGTTTGTTAGAAAAGCAGCTGCAGGTTTGTTACCTAAGGTCTGAGACAGTAGAAGAGTCAAAGGTGTCATGAATTCACCTATAAAACATAAGGAAAATTTCAGTGAACATACCCATTGTACAAATCCAAGTTAACAATGCATTTCAAATGTCTAAAATGAAAGACCACACATACCATTTAGGGGTAAAAAATCCAAGCACATAAAAAGTGTAAACTGATTATTTTCAAAAAAGTTTTTAGTGTATGCCTACATTTTATACTATATTTAATATTTAGAAGCTCTGCTAAGCACTATTAAATAAAATAACTATAAAAATGTTCTCAGGAAATTTGTTTGCATCATTTTTGGGAGGAAGGCCCTTAAAAACCTTAGAAATAACTATTTTCTTGCAGCTGATAAGTCTTTCATTCTTGAGCTAGAGATGGCCAATATTCACTCATCCCCCCACCCCTGACCCCATTTTGGTACAGTAGTAAAAACTTGGGATGTTTCAAAGGAAGTGATCTGAGGAAAAAACTTTTGATAATTATAAAGCATTCTAGTAAACTATAAGTAACAATTGTTAGGTTCTAGTAACGAAGTTAAACATTAAAAAGAAGAACTAATAAAGACTCAGAAATCAGAAATTAACTTCACAGTTAAAGAAGTTAGTTTTGCTCTTGTATTTAAGTCTGACATTAACAGACAAAAAGGTGTCGGTCAATTACCTGTAAACAACTTTATGCCTGAACATCAGCTAATTCTGGAGGAAGTGGAGTCTTAGGATGCTTGCTTTCAAAGTGCTGCTTGAAGGTCTTAGGGTCTGGCATTTGTGTCTAATTTAGAAATTATACAAAAAAGAAGAAATGGACTTCATGTATGAAATAAAAAACATGTTACCTTTTAAAACCCTGAACTTGTTTATAATAAACAGTTATCATAAATTGCCTTCAAGCTCTAACAACTTAGCAGCTAGCATATGAAGAGGAACCTTGCAAAAAAAAAATCCTCATTCTTACATTTAACAAAAAAGGGGAAAGTCACATAGAAAAGTATTTGTTTATCTCATTAATAGCAAACAACAGGTAATGTTTATTGACATCTTATTGTGCCAAATATATTACCTTAATTTTCACAAACTTCCACAGTAATCTCTAGCTTCTACTGTTATCATTCTTGTTCTACATGTTAAGGAAACTAAATCCCAGAATTTACTTTGCCTAAGACCTATGTTTTCAACCCAATGCTAGGCATTTCAGCTCTTAAATAACACACTACATAACAATGAATTCCTTTGGCAAAGACCTTAATTCACTTACTCTTTAACATGCTCAAATATATAAAACATATAATAAAAGGTTTTGAGTTTTTAAATATGTGAACTAATTCTTGTACTTTTAGGTCAAGGTATTTCTTCATCATTAACTTAGTAAAATTTATTTTCACCTTCTTTTCAAACAGAATCAGAAGCTGCTCAATTCCATCATTTTGTGTGTATCAAAGCTCAATGTGAACAAGGTATTTAATGTAATAGGTTTCCTCTAATTTTTTTTTTTTTGGGGGGGGGGTTGCCAAGGATTGAACTCGAGAGATACTTAACCCCTGAGCCATGCCCCCAGCCCTTTCTTTTTATTTTGAGACAGTGTCTTGCTGAGTTCTTGAGGCTGGCTTTGAACTTATGATTTTCCTGCCTCAATCTCCTGAGCCCGGTAGGATTATAGGCAAGCTCTGCCATGCCCACTACTAATAAGAATTCTTATGTAGTTATAAACTTCTCTTTTGTTATAACTCAAATAGATGACAAACTTCAGTCCAGGAATCATGTCTTATCAAGATCCCTTTGCCATGGGCTAGGGTTGTGGCTCAGTGGTAGAGTGCTTGCCTCACACATGAGGCCCTGAGTTGGATCTTCAGCACCACATAAAAATAAATAATGGTATTGTGTCCATTTACAATAATAATAATAATAGTAAAAACAACAAAAACAACAACAAAAAACCTTTGCCGTCCATACCATCAATTCCACTCAGCTTGTAAGGGGGCTGGAGAGCTAGGTATGTGATTATGTTAGGATTGCTATGTGGGCTAAACGTGTGACTGTATGTCTGACACATGGTAAGCACGCCACAGATGCTGTTTGTTGCTCAATTCTTTAAATTTATAAAAACAAATTAATTCTAATAATAGCCTTCAACATGAATACATTCTATATGGTTTTACCATACACTCTAACTCTGAATTTTAGTGAAAGAAAACAAATTAAAAGCCATATTCATAATCAGAAGTATTTTTACTAGCATAGTAACAAAGTTTAGTCAAATCTATATCAAGAATATAGACCTAAGTTTCTTACAAAGTTCAAGGCATATTACATTACCTCATAAAAACATCTTTATCCTACATAAAGAAAAAGTCTTGTTTCATTCTTTGTTCCTCAGATCATAGAAACCTGCATCTGGCCAAGAAGCCAAGCACAAAGCTTTGTAAATGGGTACATGAAGACAAATTCCTAAAACAACCAGATGTCAAATCTATTTCAAACAAACCATCTATTTTGCTAGCGTTACAAAATTTTAACCTATACAAATCAATTTACAATGAAAGAATTGTCCACCAAGCAATGTCTTTCAAGCCCTCTTACCCTACAGACAGTGCAGGTATATATTAAGGCAGCTTTGGCAGCAGCCTTTTGGTCATGTCCTTGTTTCTTCTTTTGTCCAGCCTGCTTTTTGGCATTTTTTTGCTGAGACTGAATCTTCTGCTGTCCACGAGCCATATCTAAAAACAGAAGTTAAGGCATTAGAGTGACTTAATTATTCTAATATTGAGTAATCTAAATAACCATCTCAGAGTTAAAGCCTTAAATTTTATAGAAACTTTAAGCAATCAAAATGAATGGGTTTTAAACTCTCACAGACAATGCTACTGGATTATAAACTGATAGAATCAACCACTGAGGAGGAAATAAAACTGGTTGGCAGTTGTCTATGACCTCTGTTGGTATATATTCAACAACAACAACAAAAAAATGTATACACACAAGATAAATACAAGAAAGTTCGGAAAACCGTTTCAAAACTAGGAACAATCCAACTGCTCAACAATTGTAAAATGGATACATCAATGTGCACACAAACACAATACATACAATGAAATACTAAGCAGCATTCTAAAATAATTATTGTTTCAAGCGACACCAAGTTTGTATCTCAATGTTAAATAAATCAGTTACAAAGAATATACATTATATAAAATTCAAAAGAGGCAAAGGAGGCTGGGGTATGAAGCTGTGCTTGAGCATCACCCTAACCTGTGCAAGGCCCTGGGTTCCAGAGCAAGGCTTTAAAGTGAAAGAGGTGACATTGGGGTTTATGGAGCAATGATTTGGGAAGAGAGGACAAGAGAAGAAATTATGAGGTGCTAAAAATGTTCTGTATCTTGAACCAGGTAATGGTTACACAGTATGTTTATTTGAAAAAATTCATTGAGCTATATACCTAAGATTGTTCACTTTATGTAATCTTCAAAAGCTTTCCCAAAAAGTTTAGCTTCCCTGTAACATTTATTTGGTTACTTTGCAAAGTAACTTTCCCTTTCTGGTATTTACAGTTGTAATTTGCAATTCTTAACTGTTTAAGACAAATAAGAGCTGTTAACTAGTCCTTCTAAAGGAGATTATGCTACCAAAGAGGAATTATTCTCTTAAATACCTAGGTTTCATTTAATTACTGTGCCATTCTAATTTTTCCTAAATGGTCATTATGAGATTTAATTAGTTCCCAGTTGAGAGAATGAACCTGGTTTAAGGGTAGGGACACCCTTACAAAGTTTAAAGATACCACTTTTTTTTTTTTGTTATTGGTGGTCAAAAGTGAACATATGTGAGTTAATTAAAAATAATTGTCATTGAGAAGTTACTTTTACTTTCTCATTAAAATTAAAGACTTCTTTTAAACAAGTTAAAAATGTTCAAGAATGTTGGTTTTTCTGATGGGAACCCTAATTAGATAATGATTGTAAGGTCTAAGCATTTCATAGAAACAACTAACTCCCCTCCCCACCTCCAAAAAAGGGGATGTAGGGACACAATAAGTAAATATACTGATTGGGCAAGTTCCCACTAGCATTATGAATTTAAAGTCATAATTTCAGAAGAGGATCAATGCTTTTCTTTTTTTCTTCTTCAAAGCCAGCTGAAGATCTTACTAATTATAAAAATGTTTAGTATGCTAGCTTAATACCAGAACCCAATTCCTACCAAATAATGGTGACTACTACCAGCTGTTAGTCCCTACAAGTATGCTTCAATTTTTTATTAAACCTTATTAATTTTAAGCTAAATGCATTATTTTTTCAAAAGAATATTTAAAGTATATTCAGATGAGAGCAGTCAGGTGTTCAATCTTTATGTACACCAATGTTTTGTAACATTCTTAATGTCTCAATGTCTTAGTATCAGAACCTATGTTAGAATACTCCAGTTATCTCTTTTATCTTAATCTTGACTCTTACACATAATGTATTTTATGTATGTTAATACACTGCTTTTGTGGATAAAATTGTTTTAAACAATTCTTAACAATTAAAATCCTAATCGTTAACACTGAAGAAAAATCTTACACAATGGCAGACCACTAATTCCATAAGTTTCCTTGCTATCTAGAAGCTATTAACTATTTTGATGACATGTTCATGCAGTGATCTGTACAATATTATAAGATGAACAAAATAAAACATTATATGACAGATTAACCCATTTTCATTGCCACCTAGCAACAGTAACAAAAAGTCATAAGAACTTTAACAAAAAAGGTAGTTGTTGTTTGTTCTTATTTTTGAGACAGAAAACTAGGCAAAAGAAATTTTATCAAACAGGCTAACAGCATGGGGTAGGCCCCTAACTTCTGACAGCACACTGCATTGATTTCCTTTCTGAAAGCCAAAATGCAAACGAACAAACCACCTGCTTTTGGACAGCTCAACTTAAGATTTGTTCTCAAACCAATCGAATTTTCTGCAAAATCGTATGCATAACTTCTCCCTGATTAAATATGACAAATGGAAGGGCAAAAAATCGTTTACAAATAACCTAAAAGCTGGTTTTTAATGTAACTCTTATTTAGTGTGCTTTTCCGAGGGGACTGCAAAAAGGGAAGTGTAGAACGGACGAGTTCTTTCAAAATGAGGAGCTTTCGCAGGAGGCAACAAGTAAGCCCTGTTCCAAAGATCCTTTTAAAAGCAAACCAAGAATTAAGAAAAAGATTTTGGATTCAGGAAGTAGGCTGATTATCCGTAACCATCTGAAAGGAAGAGGCCCAGGCAGTAGTGCTCAACATCCTGACCCTAGCTTTTTAAACTACATCCATCTGAGGAGAAGGGCGGGAGAAATCACCAGAGTAAGGGCGCCTTCACTCAACACTCCAATAACCCAGCTGCAGCCTGCAGCACCTTTCCCAGTCTTCTCCAGCCTCAGTGAGCCCCCTCCTCCTTCCAGCCACCAAAGACCACATAACCCTCACCTACCCGCCAGTCCTCAAGGACCCTGGCCCGAGATTTGTCAGCTGGAGGCCTTGGTTGTACGAAACCCGGCCCCTTGGGTCGCCGAGAGCCCGGCCTCGAGATACCGACCAGCTGCTGTCGCCAGCGGGTAAAGTTACCGCTGCTCCCGCGGCCGGCCTGCGACCCGGCCACCTGCAGGGCCTGGCAGGCACCCGAGCTTCCCCTCCTTTCCGGGGCCCGCGCCGGGAC